CCCCAAAACCCCAAAACCCCAAAACCCCAAAACCCCTTTCTACCATCGAAATATTGAATTATTTACAGATATGCGAAATATTCATTGACTATCTGAGCAGCTTGAGTCTCAGCATCGGACTGGGACAATGATATTGGAAGGATTACTATAACAGTCCGAGGAATAGACCTTCTTCCTACAACCCAATAATTCGTAGTAGTGATTTGGTATTCAACCAAACTACTGTTATCTCTAAATTTGTTCATAATAATGTTCAAATAGTGCCTCAGCTCTTTATTCAGCAACTTCTTAGTGAACTTCTGTGTTTGTTTAAAGGCTAAGTTAGAATCGTTGAAATACATTAGTTTTACTGTTTCTTCAGGGTCGAGAGGTTTTTCATCATTAAATTCAACGATTCGATCAAGCTTAGAGAACATGCTTCTACATTTATCAAAGATAAAATTTCTCATTTTCTCATAAACTTCGAAAGAAAGACGGAATCTATCTTCTTCAATAAAAAGAGCCATGGTGAATCCCTCAGCTCAGATTACTAGAAGACGATACTGCTTAAGGGCGTTTGTACAAGGGTCTACCTTGATGTAAACTTTTGGGCTAAAAATTTCATAAGTTTTAGGAATATCATCTTCATCTTTATGGTCAACAATTGTTGGTCCAATCAAAAACCCTTTCTTGTTTAACCTGGATCCCTTAAATCCATCTGGGTTTAGTTTGCAGAATGTCGAAAATGTTCTCTTCAGCAAATCGTCATACTCCACATTCTCAAAGCCAAGTTCTTCTGCAAGAGTTTCCATTTCTTTTTCGTCCTCAGACATTTCCTATATCTCTCACAAAATTGTCATACTCCACTGTTTACTCCTTTTGAGTTGACTTTAAAAATTTCTCCTTTTTGGCCTGAATCAACCCAATTTGGCTAAAATATTGCTCAACAGCTTACCTCGAATCCCTCTCTTCGAGTATATTGACTAAGAAAGAGATATTTGTGTAGTACTTCGACCTGTCCTTGGGGCAGGTCAGAGTACAACAAATATTCTTCATAGAAAACAGCAACGTTGCAGATAGGGAACTCTGTGCATAAGCTATTGATGCACTTCTGCACATAGAGGTATGTCTTAGGATCAACAGGACATATCCGGTACCCTCGGATAGTCACGTTGTTGAAAAAGCATCTCGCTAAATGTCAGAAGAAGCCTTTACCTATTCCCTCTTTGAAAAAGTATTTTTCAAAGTTGTAAGTAAAATCACTCATGATGACTTTGAGGTGATCTCTGTCTTTTTCAAACTGATTTGTGATAGATCCGTTGAACATCGTAAAGAATTCATAGTATAGGTTGAGTCAATCGATGAATATTTCTGAGTCTTCTTCCTTAAAAGTGGAAGATGTTGGATCGAAATTACTGATAGTTATATTATCGGTTGATTCTGTGTCATATGGATCCTAGATACATGAATAAAATCCTTACTCTATCATTATAAAGAGTAAACCCAGTCTCAGCATGCCCAGAATAATCCTCAGCGGCATTACTATCATGCGAAATGAGCATTCAGAGGAAAAAGTTAGGCTCGAATTCTTTAAATGACACCGTAAAGAGATCTGTGTTGATTATCTCTATAGGATGGTCTTCATAGTGTTCACTATCTGAAATAAATGTGCGCATGTATTCGTAAACTCCTTCACAAATACCTGTCTGTTTTCTATAAGAAAGGTATGAACCCATTCGCATTCATGGACAGCCATCCTTGGGTTGGCAATAATTGAAACCTTACCTTCTTTCATGGTCATCTATGCTAGTAGGATAGTAGAAAAGGATTTTTACTCTGACTGGCAAACATCCTCATCATGCTTGAACTCCTTGGCTGGCTTCAGAGTAGGATTGTACAAGAACACACTCAAAGATATAGGATCCATTTCGAGTATCTGGCTAGACTCCATTAATTTATTAAAAATATTATCAGTCCCGGTTGCTTCTTCTGGGGTTTTGGGGTTTTGGGGTTTTGGGG